CTGCCTGTAGCTGGGGGTTGGGAATTTGTGATCCTTGAGGTCCCTTCCAACCCTGGCCATTCTGTGATTCCTCCTTGTACTATTTAATCCATTCTAAGGGAGTTTGAATGAATGTATTGGCTGGTATATTCTGTCCCGTGGGCAGCAAAGGAAGCAGTTGTACTCAAAAGAAGTGATTCATATCCTCTAGAAATGCCTTGTTCCAGCTCCTGGCACCTTTCTTACATTGTTGTCTGGCTCTTCTCTAGTATGACTTAGTTTCTCCCACATTTTTAAAAAGTAAAATTAAATAATTCTGTCAGTTATTGTTGACCCCACTTGTCACTCTAGCCAACTGCCTGCCTCTCCTTTGATCTCAGAGAGTGTGTATCATTAAACTTTTTGCCAGTGATTTAATCTTGGATTCTCTCTAGACTGGCTCTTGTTCCTTCTGTTACTCTAAAGCGAAAGTCTTTCCTCTCTCGAGTTGAATTGACTGATGGTGTTGGCCCTGCTGTTTGTGAAATCATCATCTTTCCTTCACTAGTTTTGCTGTGGAGGAAAAACTAATCCAGAAGACTTTCTCTGTGATCATCTGATTCTTATTTATAGGTAAATAAGTCATTTTTATTTGTCATTTGTGTGCAAGTATGACTCTGTGCTCCAAGCGTAGTTCCGTTCCTCCAAACCAAACCCTCGGCCTCTCTCTTCAGTATTTTTTTAGAGAGATCTATTTTTGGAACCATGTTTGAGAGCTTTGTTTTCACAGATGCTATTCCTTCTGTCTCTTGTCATGGCCTTGCCAACTGTTACAGATGCTCCTAGCATCCTGCCATCATGGAGTCCTGTAATGTGTACCTCGGCTTCAGATTCCATCCTTCTAAGGCAGCGAAGGCACACTGTGTTAAAGCCATTCAGAACAGTTCTCAGCATCTTTTCTTAAGGCTGCAATTTGTTCTGTTAGCTGATCAAACTGGATTGCTAAGGCACCGAATGCTGTGTGGTTGTTAGCCTTGATCCATGGGTTCTTTTTGAAGGTGCTCAGCAGCAGTACAAGGGGCAGCAAGCACAGACTGGAGCAGAGGAAGTTTCCTGTGAACATTATGGAAAACATCTTTACTTGAAGGGCTGCAGAGCATGGGAACCCAGACGGGTCGTGGACTCTCCTCTGGAGATACTCAAATACCAGCCTGGTTGCTTTCTTGTGCAACCTACCGTAGGAGACCTGCTTAGCAGGGAGTTGGACTGGGTGACTGCTAGAGGTCCCTCCCGACCCCTGTGATTCTGTGATTCTCTAAGTGAGAAAACTTAGAGGTGGGAAAGGAGAAAGTAATCTCTGTCTCTTGGGGATAACCTGCACATCAGTTAGATTGCTTAAGATACTGTGCGTCCGCAGCAGAGGATTAGATATAATCCTGTTATCATTGCTGTTGTATGGCTTTCTCTCCCTTTTTTTTTCTCTCTTTTTTTCTGTCTGTGTGTATTTCCAGGGCTGTAGGCTGCATCCAGAGTGAGAGCAGTGTGTCCTTTTGAAGACTCTCTGTGTGTCTCCTCTCTGCCCAACACTCCTTCCTTACAGGAGGAAATGAGTAGCACACTGATTAGTTTTGATGTTTTATGTGCTTGCTACAGCAATACATAGGACATACATAGTTTGTTCTATCTGGGAGGGGTGCTGTAAATATGCACAGCAAATAGACTTTTCACTTAATGTAAAAACATCTGTAGAGGATGCTGTGTCTGTCAACTTGTTTGTCTCCCTTCTTTGAACTTAGAAAAGTACAATTGGCCTTTGACATCAGATTCTGTGTTGGGAGGAATATTTTCCACTGCACTTCAGTTTTTTTTCCCTTTCAGAATGCTGTGACTTTGGAGTCAGTTTAGTACCTGATTTTAGGTGATTGCATTGTAGTAGATTTTGACTGAATACACTGAAATATTTATACTGATGAAACCATTTTGCAACACACTGCTGTTCTGCAGTCTTCCACACTTCTGTCGGTTCCTGAACACTGAGTCTTAAGAGACTTAGGCAGTATCTTGAATAGTTTCTTCACCCTCCTAACCGTACCTCAGGAGGCTGATTCTTTTAAATATAGCATCTGATACCCTGACAGACATAGATAGTGTGAATGGTTCCTTTCTCTTACATTTTCTGTGTCATTCAGAAAACTTTCTTTGAGCAATATTGTGCAGTTTCTGTCTCTTTCCATTTACTTCAGAGGGTCTGCATTCTCAGTGGTGTGGTCAGACAGCTGAACTGTTGGAGAAGGTGGGTGGGAGAAAGTGGCATAAGCACATTTTGTCTCAGCTGATAAATGACAGTGTCTCTTGTTTGAAATATCTGCAGTAATTAATGCTGAATTAGTTGTACAAGCTTAGTCACACTAATGATTGTGCGTGTGCTTCAGCAAGATTTCTACAGAATGAGATGTTTCTATTAAGAAGCCTAAGAAACCTTTTCAAATTGCTTCTAGTGAAATGATAGCGTGGAAATATCTTCCAGTGTTTTTTAAGGAGTCTAGAACTCCCAGTTGAAATGTTAGTTTTGCTGGTATAATCTTGTGCCAGCAGATCTGAAGGCAGGAAGGACTGCATGGCACCAAGTGCAGTGAGTGTAGTGTGTTCATCCCAAATGTGATCTGTGTGTGTTCGTCAGGCTGTAAGATTTATAATGAAGAGTTCACCTTTTTAAAGACAGAGAGAAAGAACAAAGGAGAAACAGAAATAACCTGGATGTGAGTTTCACATCTAGAGCTCTTTGGGAAGACGTGAGCTCCTGTCAGAAAGCTCCTATTGGGACAGTCCGTTCTTGTAACTTGTAGTACAGTAATGAGAAGCTTCTGCCTGTCTTCTTAGGTACATACACTGTTACTTGAAAGAAGATAACTCAGAGTGTGGTGGAGTTTTCTTTTTGTAATAGTGGTGATTTTTCTGATCGTTTTTCAGTCTGCTGCAAACTCAGCTTTCTTTTTCAGCCAGCTCGGCCATAGGCATCCTCTGGAAATGTTTGTTTCAGCCTCTGCTCGTTCCAGCTTTGGCAAAAGCTCAGGCTTCAAATAGTGCAAGGTAGTGGCTCTAACAGTTGACATTAAGAAAAAAACAGAAATTGTCTGGATCCTTGCCTGATTCTGACTAGAACAGTTTGTCTCTTGTGCCTGTGCTTGAACACACTTAATGATTTCCCAGCTTTGTTTAGCTTCTTGGCTCATCCTTCCCATGTATTTCTTCCTGTAAGATTGCTTAAAGATTGGAAACATACTAAAATAAATTTGTGGTGTGAAATTGATGCTTTTGCTCAAGTAGTACTTCAGTCAGTAACATCTAAAGACCAAGAAGTGACTTCCCAAAATGAGAGGCTTCTTCAAAATACAGCTGCCTGTGCTGTACGAAGGTGGGATCCGGGAGACATTAATTTGTGCATCTCTTCCATAAATCTATTAAGAAAGAGTCTGTTTTAGGCTAGTCTTCTGTTCTTCACTTAATGTGACAACTGCTGTCACATTGTAGCTTAACAGTGGCCAACTGCAGTGCTGTAGGGCACGCCTGCTTGCTTCTTGCACTCTCCATTGCTGCTGCAGGTGTCCATTTGTTGTCTGTCTGCACACCCCACGTGTGAGGGGAAATGAAGCATTGCTGCCTTCTCCAAAACTGTATGGTAGTACTCCTTAAACTGAAGCTAATGTGCAAAGACAGATATGCTCTGCTGATGCTGCTCCATCTGCCTCTCTTCTGCCACCTATTCTTTGCAGCGGTCCTCAGGCAGCCTTGTCGTTTTCTTCCTCCTGTGCAGAGAACCATGGGCTTGATGTTATGGACCTTGATGACTGGGTCATCAAAATGAATAACTGCATCCTGCCCTGAATTCTCTGCAGTTATCCAGATTGCACAGACTCCTAGGTTGGAAATTCTTCTAACCTTGGCCAGATTGATTGATGCAGATTGATTGCATTGGTTGATAACTGCTCAGGCATGGTGTGAAGTTATTTCATGGTAGACTGGCAAGATCTTCTGTATTGAGCAGTCTGCATGGATCATATAGAGAAATCTGTGAGAGCACGTGGCAGCTGTGGAAACAAAACCTTTTGTTCATAATAACTCATAGTAGAACTGATTGCCTTTCACCTCTTGCATTTAGCACTACTTGTTAGTGTTTTTGTCATCAGCCACTGTTTTATGCTGTCCTTTACTGGCAGCTATGTATTTTTGAAAGACAGGCTGTTGAGGTGGTGCATGGAGGACAGGTGCTGTTTTCCATGGTGGTCCTATTGTTCATAGCAGTCCATGAAATGTGTTCTCTCTTGTTGTCAGTCTCCTGAAGATTTGGAGTAACTCTTGAAGTTACGGACCCGGGAGCTATATGTGATTATGTGGAAAATCTTGGTTTAGTGGGTTTTTCTTTCACATTTCTAGTATTGATGGTGTGAAGAGGAACTTGGAAAACATAGGCTGTAATTACCGTGACTTCAGAGACTGTATGGGATCATCATCCTTTTAACAGTTTGTAAAAGAAACCTTGTATTGTTATGGGGCATGGTGAATGGTTTCTGAATGCTCAGACTTGTCAGTATTTTTTTTCTAACACCACTTGATGCAGCATTACCTGCATCAGTGTGTTTTGAAACCTCCTTTTCCCCCTTTGAGCCTCCTCTTCAGGTGTGTCCCTGAAGGCTGCCCGTAACAAACTCAGCATTTGTGAAAAAATGAGCAGGAGCTTTAGGAAATGCTAATTCTTAAGGGAAGGGTATGACTGAGGGTGAAAAAGGCAAAGCCTGGAGTTGTAAAACTGATTTGTTCCTCACTCCATCTTAATGCTGTGGATCTTAAATTGCAAGTGAAAGTGGGGGAAAGGATAACCGAGTGCCACTTATCCTAGTGCAGTAACTGTGGGCTGCTTACCTGACAGAGAAGGATTTTTGACATCTTGCTGATGTCACAAGGGGCATACCTTGTAATCAATGGAGACTTTGTGTTTTTTTTTTTCCATATTTGTTTTAAATGTCTTTACATTTTATTCACAGGGTCCAGCCACCTGCGTAGCATTCTCCAGAACTGGAGACTTCTTTGCCTCTGGAGGATCTGATGAGCAGGTGGGTGACTGGCTTCCTTTTGTTGTTATGTTTGTTTGTTGCTGTTGTTGCTTTCTATGTTACTGTTTGTTTGTTTTAAGCATCTTACTGCTTTCAGAGAGAGAACCAATGTTAGAAAGTAACAATAAATATTTTCTCACTGAGGAAGCACTTATGGTGGGCTAGTTGGGAATGTGATATGGACAACAGAAAACATTACCCTGCGTACAGGCCTTGTGATATGCATTTTTGAGGCTTCTGGCTGCTGGTGGAGAATAGGCTAGGGGGTGCAACTGCCTGCGCTGAAACAGCCTGAAGATCTGTTGTCATTGCCTGAGTCTGTCTCCTCTTCTGCCTCTGCCTAGTTCTGAGAGATGGGCAAAGGGATGAGGAAGCAGGTGGTGATGCTTCCCTCAGTGCTCTCCCAGAGTCTGCTGCTCCACTGGCTGGGAGCTTATATTTTGCATTTTACAGTGCTCTTATCCTCCTATAGATCTGCCTTTCAGTTCTATTTGAGAAGAAGCTGTCTCCTTAGGTGGATTTGATTCTGAGCAGACATGAGATTGTTCTGTTAGTAAGGGCTGGAGCAAAGCTTTGCAAATGCTGCAGTTACACAGCTGCTGGAGCCAGAGCTGGGCTTTTCTCTGAGCTTGGCGTGTACTCTGGGATTGAGAACCTGAGCGTATCGTACTGCTAGTGAAGGGTTTTTGTGGATGAAGCCCTTCTCTATTCCTTTTGCTTCTGGTCCTGAATTATAATCCAGGTTCACATTTGTTTAAAACATGTTGGGGTTTCTTTTCTGTTGTCTGCATGAGAAAACAAAAACATAGCAGACATGTCTAGACTGTGCTGGAATGCCTTGGTAGGTTCTTTGTGTAATATGTGTTTTCAGCATACTATTGAGAAGGAAATCAGTCCTGCTTGTAGTTCTTGTCAGCTGCATTTTAATGCCATTTTATGCTAAGAGAGGTGGTGTAGTTTACCATCCTGTCTCTTTAATACCATGTTATTTCCTTTAAAAAAATTAATGGGATTTTAAAGAGGAGAAACTCATCTATTATTTTTTTTTCCTATAAAATTGTACCAGCGTCACTTTTATTAAGATTTGCTCTTGAAATGCTTATCTAACACGGGAAGCAAATAACCATCTTTGCTGTTGTTTCTTTCTCCCATAAGAACGCCTGGTGTTGCTGGAAGTTGGAGTTGCTTAGTGATTCTCTGTTATTTATTTTCCAAAGCGTTCACTTTTGTGAAAACTCCTATCTTTGTCTTTGATTCTTAGGCATAGCTAAGAAGTTGATTTTCTTTTTTATGATTTTTAGTTTCTATTTTGAGAGGTTTTGTTACCCTGCACCGGCCCACTGCACAGATTCCTGTGAGAAGCTTTTGTTCCATCCGGTCCGCTGTCTTTCCTCTTGCTGGGACCTGTTTTCAATGCGGACGAGATTCACTCTTTCTTTAAAATATCTCCCTCTGGGTATTGTTAGCTGAGACACTGCGTGGCAGTGCTTCCTCAGGAAGGTGCTTTGTGAAGGCCTGTTTCTGCCGTTTGGTCACACTGACACTTGTGGCCATCAGTGCCATTGCAGCTCATGGTTGCATATGTTTCTGAGCCATCGGGAGCATCGGCCGTTAGCTTTCGTGAAGGCGTTGCCTCTCCCCTGTTAGGTTTGTTTCTGAGCACTGTTTCAGCAGTGCTTCTTTCTCCTGTGTACGGAGGAAGAACTTTCACATACAGTACGGGCATGGATTAGAAGTGACATTGGTCCTTGTATATGTATGAGATTTTTCTGTGGAAAGATCTTGCTGGACACTGGCTTTCTGGATCAGGAGAAACATGAGAGCTGATGAAAATAGCAGCACATCTCTAGAGATCGGAGAGAAAACGTGTGTGAGGAAATTTAGATGTTCTCATTCAAAAAGATGATGCAAATATTGAATAGAATAGTTAGTAGGCCGTCTGGCCACTGACCTATGAAGCTGTGAAGAAGGTATTGTGTACAATAAAGAGCATCGTGTTCTCCTGTTACTCTCTGGAATGGCCATATTGGTCATTGGATCTATGTAAGTGCAAAAAAAACCCTTCTACATTTCACGGAAGGCAGGAATGAAGCTGTGTGTACAGCAATGTTTCTGATAACTAAAATGAACTACTGAGATTTACAATGTCTTTCAGACTTTTAAAACAGTTGATTGATGCCCTTAGACTTTTTTGACTCTTTAGAGTGTCATCACTTCAGGATTTTGCCCCGTAGACTTGCTCTTCACGTGTTAAAGTAGTTTTTGTGTTAGAGGTTCAGTTACAACTCTTCTCTTTTGAAATAAATGCTGCATTATGGAGAGGCCATGCCTTTAAGTGGGACTTATTAGCTGGCAAACTGACTCAAAATGTCTGATGTTCGTCTCAAAGTACTGATCTCTCCTTTTCCTGTGAATGAATGCATTGATAAAACAGCAACTAGTTTGGTGTGTGACTAAGTGCTGTATTACTACATGTAATATTTTAATGCTATAATTGATGTGTTGCTTCAAAGTTCTCTGGGTATGTCTAGTTTCATGATGTTCCTAACCCAAGAAATGTTGAAGGAAGACACTTTCAGGTTGAGAACTCCATCTGTTTTCAGTAACATCAGCCTTCTCGGATGTGGAGGTGAAATCGACCTCTAAGCAAATGTGGTGAAAAGTTTTCATAAAAGTGACTTAGCCATCTGGCCTTGTTCTGCAGGTGATGGTATGGAAGACTAATTTCAATGCAGCAGATTACGGCGAAGTTCTGAAATCTCACAAGTCTGGTGCTGATGTGGATGGGACCCATCACAGTCTGGTAGGTCAGCACACACAGGTTACATAAAGCTCCTTTTGGAGAACAGTGTCTACAGTTTGAATAAGATGTGACTCAGTTTCACGTAGTTGGACTATGGAGCCATCTTTTTCCTTGGTGTTAATTTGAGCTGTCTGTTATTTACCATCTTAGTATTGTTTCTGGTTTGTTTAGACATATGTACTTTCTTGGAAAATGATAAAATGAAATAATGATTAAAAAACAGAGAAATAAATGTAGTTCATTTGTGTACACAAGGAGATGTGAGAGGCTTGGACAATATTCTGTACTCCCACCTCTCCTCACCTCCCAGAAATAAAAGCACAGATGTGAGTAACAGCTGAAAGCAGTTTTACTAGCTGGTAGAAATCCTTGAGGGATGCCATTAGTTCTGAAAATAGATGTTCATTAAGTCTTCTCATTGACAGCTATCAAAGACAGAAGAAATCTCTGCAGAGACTTAATGCAGGTGAGAAAAGGGTGACATTGTACTAGAGCTTTGTTTCTAAATATTTGGAGACATCTTAGTTCTGACTGCATCTAATGCATGAATCCATTAGCTGAATAATGCAGTGTGATGCAGTGATCTCAGTGTAGTGTTTATGTTAGATGTCTTGGATGTTACAAGAGTAACCCTTTAAAGTTATTGCTGGTGTGAGTGATGTTTCACTTGAATTTTCGTGTTCTCTTACGAATCTTTGGATGCTTCCTTGATCTGTTGAAGTATAACTGCAGTATTTCAGAACATGTTGTTACCGTGACTGTTTTGTTGCCTATGGTTCAAACAGTGGATGTGTGAGTGCTGGTATGCATGCATGACGTGTCTTAACTCAAAGGTAAACTTCTATCTGATACCTTTAACTCTGTGGCAGTATCTGTAATCTTTCCAATTCAGTTTTTTTCCACTGGAATATAAAAAGCAAGGGAAAGTGGTTGTGTTATGGGTATAACACATGATAGTCAGTGGTATTCTTACCTCCTATTTATTCCTTGGCCACACGGAGGAATACTTTGGCTTGAGGTAACCAGTGTTACCTTTTGGTGTGAACAGCACAAAGGATCCGGTAGATCTCCCACATCAGCTGTGAGCATCAAGAGAAACTTGATGTGAGTTAAACCTTTGACAGTAAAACTGTCCTTGGCTAAGAAGCAGGATGGAGGAAGTAGCAGTGGAGAGCTTTGGTGATAGCTGACATGGCTGTAGCCAGTTGTCTGTCAGTTCAATTCTGTGCGGTTGTTACTGCCTCTCACTTCATGGTTGCCTGGGAAGTGTGATGCATCTTTGTCCTGCTGTAGAGGAGGAAGTTCCTGCTCTTGTTTCGTGTCATATTGTGATCTGTGAGACCAAAGCCAAGATAGTGAAGTTTTTGGTGAGTATCACCCGAATAGTGGCTGCCTGTTAGCAGAACAGGCAGAGCAGAAGTAGAGTCTGCACCAGGTCTCTGCAGATGGTTCACTATGTTTCATGAGAATAGAAATGCAGGATGTGACTAGTCCCTGTACTCTTACTTATGGTTGGTAAGAATGCAGTGTCTGAACATTAAGACAGTTGTGATTGCTAAAATAATAAGAAAAATAATGTTCTCTGAGAGCCTTTGTTTTGAATACCACAGGTTAAGTTTAAAATTGGTACGAAATGTTCTTAGCTATTAAAAAGAAATGAATGTCTCTGAAAATATCTTGGTTTATTAAGGAACGTAAGTGGAACCTGAACGTGGTAATTCTGACTTCTTAATCAACTGTCCACAGCCCAATTTCTTTTCTTTCAAGTGAAGTGTGTTGTTAGGCTGGTTTTGAAGGGTGCTGCTGCAGCTTACTGCAAGACTTGACTTCTGCTGCTCATTTTCAGAAAAGCTTCCTGTTTTTAGCGAGGCACTGCTTTTTATTTTTAATTTTGAATAGCAGACGTCAGTATTATTATTTCTCCCATTTCTCTCTCAACAAAATGACTAAAAGCAGCAGTGTGTGCTTTTTCATCTCCTCTTGATGTCCTTCTATGGAAAGAGGACCTGTTTCATTCTTCTCTACTGCTGCGTAGTACCAAGATTCTTCTGGAATAAGAGAAATGGTGCAGATGTTTTTTATACTATCATTATGTGCTAGGGGCCTGTAGACTGTAATTTATTTTCGATGAGCTAGCATTATCCTTGACACATGTAAATCTGTTTACCTTTTACTTAAATGAAAGAATATTTTTCAAAGCTTGTGCTGTGTTGTGCAGCTCTGTAACTTTTTTTCTTAAGGACTGAAAGCATGGCTGCTTATCAAAACAGTGGATGTGTAAAAACAATGTTTTGTATCCAGCTTCTCATGGAAGAGTAAGTCTAACATACAAGGGCTAGGGAATAAGTGAATGCAGCCTTCAAAGCGAGTCAGTCATTGAGATGAGTAGGAAGAAGAAAAGAATCTTAACCTGTGTTGTAAAAGAGGCATGAAAAGCCCTGTTGGGGCGGTGAGCTTGAAAACAAACTTGTTCAGGAACAGTTTTCATTTCAGTAGGCAGATGGAGACTGAAGCCTGCAGAAGATGCTAATTTCTAAGGCAAGTGGTTAAAGTTCACTGTGAATCAGAGCATGGAGCTTGTTTGCAGAGATAGGTGTGAACTTCAAAGTTGCTCTGCCCACCTGCTGGTGTTTTCTGTAAATATATGAGGCTTTGGTGATGCAGCTTGCTTTGGAAGCAGAACTTCTCTGTGCAAGAATGATTGTAAATGAAAGAAGGCTGTGATGAGTAGGAATTACAGTCATGACTGTGGTGTAAAAGCATAAACCACAAAAATGTGATCAGAAAGAATGCTAAAACTGGCTGATATAAATGTAAATAAATGTTATTGTAGGTGCGAGAGGTTCTAGGTGCTAGATCAGAGTTATGGAAACTGAAATGCTTGCTTACCATTTATAAACTAGTAACTGCTGCAATGAAGTGTTCCCTAATTGCCCCGGAAACGTCAGTGAAGGGCAAACACAGTGAGTGCTGTGTGAACTCAGGGGAAGAAACGTCTTACAGTCCTGTGTCTTGATTTAGTTTGTGGCTTTGATCTAGAATGTAATGGGTACGAGTAAAATTATGTCCTAAGCTGGAATATTGGGCGGTGAAGACCGACAGGAAAGTGATAATAGTCATAGATCTTTGCCTGTTGTTTCATATTATGGGCTCCTACAGTTGCTGTGGGATCAGAATAGGAGCAAAAGGGTTGGTCTGTATGGAGAGCTGCGCTGGATAGGATCAAAGGACATGTTCTCAGAGCTGGTATGTTACTGAAAATATTTACTTAATCCACAATTGGTTATTTTTCAGAGAAGGTAGATAATAATGTTTTACTTTGGGGGTTGATTGTGGGTGTTTTTTGTTGTTTGTTTTTTCAGATATAAGGAAAGCTTTGTACGTGCAGCTATTGCTGACGTGAGTGTACAGTGACTCTGGTTTCTTTGTGGGATGGATTTGCTGCTATTGCTTGGCAAATTCCAAGAAAGCAATGTGTGGTGAAGTGTAATGAACAAATGCTAAGCAGTTCATATCACGTGGACAGTTGGAAGGTGCTTGGGTGTTTCTCTACATTCGTACTTGAAGATGATGAATGACAAGAAGAACATTGAATGAGCCAAATTGGTAAACATTTTAATGTAAAGTTATGGGAAATAGGGAATACTCATTGATGGGGGGATTCTTTACTCAATCTTCAATGTAATTATAGACATTCTTTTGGCACCTTATAACTTGCTGTGTCAAGTACTTCCCTAGGCAAAGAAGGGATGATGAGGAGACTTTCCATCTAATCCTCTGATTCTTTTTGCTGTTGCATCAAACTTTCTAAGGAAAAATACTTGAATTGCGAGCTTTAATAGAGGAAAAAGTGGCTTCTCATGTTCAAAAGGCAGTGAAAAGTCTGTGAGCTTTGAGTGCTTTGCTTGTTTGTCTCAGGGTATCCTGGTGGGAGAGGTAACTGGCACAGCAGGGCAGAAGACATAAGGTGGTGATCTGGAGGTGTTTTTCTTGCCGCCTCAGCTGCGAATCCTGCAGCCATGTAACTGAAATGAGTGTTTCACATGGATACAGTGCTAGTTCTCCTGAGACCAGCGGGCTTCTTGGTTTGGAGGTAAGTTCTAGGATAAGTTCAAATGATAAAGGCAGCAGGTATTTAATTACCATCTCTCAGAAGACACAGGTTAGTTTTCAGCTCCCGATGTGCTGAGATCTGCCCATGTGAGTAGACTTTTGGGAGGCTGAGCTCACGTGGGTAGAGATGTAAAGTTGTCCTCTGTCACTCTTCTGCCAGGAGATCTTCATGGTGTTGTTATTTGTTTTTAAAGTTTAAGTGCACAGATATTTTAAGTGTAGTTAGCTCTGTTGAAGGCAAATGGTGGTCAATTTCAGAGCCACCCAATTGAAAGCTAATGACATAGCAGATTTGGTGAGGATCAGGAAGAGCAGGGCTTCCGTGGAAAGGGCTTTTGATGAAAAGGTAAACAGCTTGTGACTCCTCCGATGGGCCTTTTGTTAAGATGATAGACATTTAGGCCTCTTTTTACACTCTAAGTATACAACTTTCTCCAGAAGGTATTGGATTATGTTTGTTTCTTCAGTATCTATTTTTCCAAAACAGATTGGAAACTTAATTCCTTGTGTAGTCCATGAGACTTTGTACAAACTCTCATCTCTGCGTGATTCTCCTGCATTTTGACTAAGAAGCCCTTCTGAACAAACAAGAGCCTGAATGATCATCAGCTGCAATTCATTTTTTTTGTTTGACAAGCAATTGGTACAAAAGCTGAAGCTGTGACAGTGGTGGTAAGTCATAAATTGTTTCCAAGGAAAATGGATGTGAGCAGTGATTTGGGCTGGTCAGAGCTCTCTCTCCGAAGCCCATAGGCTGAACTTCCAAACCCAGCTCCACCTTCCTTCTGCAGTGTTGGCCTTGGTCTCCATGCTGACTGCAGCACTTCAGTCTTTGTGTAAATGAATTCCTCCTGAATTACTCAGAGGCCAGATGTGCTTTTTCTTTT